AAGGACATCCAGCGAACTACAAAGGCTGTCAGATCTACAAGAATATTAAATCAAGATATCAAAAATCCCGGACCCAAGAAGAAGCAGAGGCGTCAAGAAGAGAACCTAACGCATCAAGAAGAGGACCTTAAAAAAAAATTGACCCAACGGTGTCTTTTGCACACTTATTAGGAGGTAAGAATGATGTTACTTATTGTGAGACCCTGCCGCAACAACAACACATACCTCAAAATTCTCAACCCCACCCTCAACATCCTAATCAAACTTCACCTAATCAACAGTTTTATCAACACCAAATTCCCCGCATTCCTCCTCCCTCAAATACCACAGATCTCACCAGTTTACTTACATCTTTCCTCTCCGAATTCAGATCCCTTGTTACTCCTTTGATATCTCTTCTCACCAATCTTGTATCACATTTTATCCCTCCCGCGAAAAATCCTTAAATGACTTCCAATAAACCTTTATCCATTCTCCTTTGGAATGCGAATGGTGTTAGAAATCACACAAACGAACTAACTACATTATTACTTGACAAAAATATTGACGTGGCACTAATTACTTAAACTCGACTAACCACTAAACAGCACTTCAAAATACCACAATACCTGACATATCGTACTGACCACCCTGACGGAAAAGCACATGCCGGTACTGCTGTCATTGTACACCAATCCCTCTCCCATCACCTACTCCCGTTACCTACACATGATTTCCTACAGTCCACCGCTATCGTGATAAAAACCTTTTCCTTTCCGGTTACCCTTGCATCAGCGTATTGCCCTCCTAACCGATCCATATCCAATGCCCAATTCCGTTCTCTCCTCGACTCCTTAGGACATCACTTCATCTTGGGTGCAGACCTAAATGCCAAACATCAACAATAGGGTTCCAGAACCACGAATACTCGTGGCCGAACCCTGCTGTCTGCACTCAATTCCCAACATTTTCATCTCCTTTCCCCCAACTCTCCTACCTACTGGCCCACAGATCCCAACCGTAATCCTGATCTTCTTGATTTCTTCATCCACAGCGGCTTAAGTCCCCTCAATTGTTCCATTACACGTCTAAATGAACTTTCATCTGACCATAGTCCTCTAATCCTTAATGTTTCACTTGAACCCGTTCCCAAACCTTCTCCACCGTCATTTATTAGGGGCCCAGTTAACTGGGACCTTTTCCGCCAAATCATCTCCGATAAAATTGATCTTAACATATCCCTCAAAACTCCCGATGACCTTGATAGTGCCGTAAATTCCTTTACTACCACAATCCAACAAGCCGCCTGGACTGCTTCCTTCCCAAAAGACTCCTCCAGAATTCCTAAAAAGACCATTCTACCCCAACACCTCCTTGACCTAATCCAAACCAAACGTCGTGCCAGATTATTGTGGCAACGTACCCGACATCCTACCGACCGCTGCTCCTATAATTATTACTGCAAAAAATTAAAACTGGAATTAGCCACCTTCAGATCACATTCCTTCAACTCCTACCTATCCTCCCTTTCTTCTCGCGACAATTCCCTTTGGAAAACCACTACCAAAATCTTAAATCCTCACCGCATTTCCCATCCCCTCCGACGAGAAGATGGCTCCTGGGCAGCATCTGACGAAGATAAGGCTGAGGAGTTCGCCATTCACCTATCCAATACATTTATTTCACATCCGGAATCCCATCCTGCCCACACCGTAACAGTAGAAGAATTCCTTACATCATCAATCCCACTTTCCTTGCCCCCAAAAGCTATTCATCCTTCAGAAGTGAAATTTCAATTAAAAAAATTAATCCCCCGTAAAGCTCCTGGACATGATCTCCTTACCCCTCAAATCCTTCGACAACTTCCATCCAAAGCAGTCATATTCCTTACATATATCTACAACTGTATCCTACGCACCACCCACTTTCCTCTGCTATGGAAACACTCCACTATTATCCTTTTCCAAAAACCAGGCAAACCTCCCAATATCTCAACATCCTATAGACCAATTAGCCTACTCCCAATCCTTTCAAAAATTTTTGAAAAGATCCTTTTGAAACGAATCCTACCCATTATAGAATCCCAAAATATTCCTTCCCATCAGTTTGGTTTTCGCTCCCAACATTCCACTGTTCAACAAGGACTCCGAGTTGTTGATCATATTTCCTCAGCCCTAGAAAACAAGGAATACTGTTCGGGTGCCTTTCTGGACATTGCACAGGCATTTGACCGGGTATGGCACTCCGGACTGCTCTCCAAGCTTAAAATCCATTTACCTCAGTCCTTGTACCTAGTCCTCCGATCCTACCTCTCTGACCGCTCCTTTCGAGTTCGCTGTGGAACAGAATTTTCCAATATCTACTCCGTTAAAGCCGGTGTTCCCCAAGGCAGCGTCTTGGGTCCCGTGCTTTACATCCTCTTTACTGCTGACATCCCTGTTCATCCCGATACTTTTCTTGCAACATTCGCTGACGACACCGCAATCTTATCATCCAACTCTGATCCCAACATAGCATCCTTAAATCTCCAAAACCACCTCACCTTGATTGAGCACTGGTGTAATAACTGGCGCATTAAAGTTAATGAATCTAAATGCCAACATATTACCTTTACACTCCGACGCAGTTCCTGTCCACCAGTACACTTTAATTCCATCCAGCTTCCTTACTCAGACACAGTCCGGTATCTTGGCTTTCATTTAGACCGAAGACTAACGTGGAACCCACATACTAGACTCAAAAGACAAGAACTCAACCGACGATACGGCCAGCTATACAGACTACTAAACAGAAAATCCAAACTTTCTATTGAAAACAAATTACTTATCTACAAGACAATACTGAAACCTATATGGACATACGGACTTGAACTGTGGGGGACAGCAAAAGCTTCTAACATCAAACGTATTCAATCCTTTCAATCTAAAGTCCTTCGAACAATAGTTGATGCTCCGTTCTATGTAAATAACAAAATCCTACACCATGACCTTAATATCCCATTTGTCCTAGACCTTATTCCAGAAAAATTCTCCAAATTTCACCAAAACCTTACCTATCATCCAAATCCCCTTGCACAATCTCTATCCAGCACCACCCATCCTTACAATCCTCCTCGAAGGTTGAAGCGGCAGTGGCCCAGAGACCTTTTGTAAATAAGCATCTATTGGAGTTTTGGCAATGGCCAGATCCTCCACTCAAGCCCGAGTGTGTATGATTAGGTTAGTTCTTTTGTTTATATACATTTATTTTATTTTATTGTATTTATTTTTATTTTATTTTATTGTATTTATTATTATTAAGTTTCTGTATTATTTATTTATTTTTTTTATTTTTTTTATTGTAAATAGAGTGTGAGTGTGCTTTCTCTGATCACTATTATAAATGTCCTTGATGTGACAGAATGTAATATTTCTAAATAAACAAATAATAGAAAAAAAAAAAAAAAAACACCAGATCCATGTCACTAAGATCGTATCTTTTGATGATTAAATAAAATACAAATTTTAATGATGATAATGATAGTATACAAATCTTGTATGTTTATAAGTTTTCATGATCTTAAAGGAAACAATCTTAAATGTTATATTGATATTATCTCAGGAAATTTAATAGAATTTCAAAATCAAGTACGGTAAATTTGAGCTGTGCCGAAAAAAGTAGCGGGGACGTGGTAAAGTTTCTAAGTACCTTGCGTTGGTGCTTCTACAACTTAAAGAGACTCTGAATTATTTCTATTATTTGTAAAATCAGAGACTTAGCTATAATCAGGGGTGCCCATCTTCCCAAGGTCCATAGCGCATGAAACTTCACCTCCGCTCCAAAAGATATTTTATTGTCGCCCCCTAAGAATGTTCTATTTTAGATATATAACATTTCATATAAAAGTAGGGTTTTATTTGGAGGTTCTATGTAACCTCTTAGGTCACGAATTCCCAAACACCTCTCGATAGCACATTTATTGGTTAATAGTTAAGCGGGCTGTCCAAGGCAATATAGGGGAAAAAGGTCAAATTATCGACAGTGAATATTTTTTTTGTAAATGAGATAAAACGTTTGTTAATAAGTCGGTTCAGAAAAATTATTCGAAACAAAAAAGTGTAAGTAAACTTCAATGATGAATCGATCTATGTTCCACGAAAAAGAATAAATAATTTAACTGCCATCAGTTGGGAATTGAACCTTAGGTCTTGAGCAGAGAGGTCAGCGAGCTACCAATGAGTTACCCCGCTTCCTAATAAATTATAATGATAATACTTTATTTATTCTGAGACGGGTTTATTTATAATAGAAAGACAGAAATTTGGGCTTTGGAGCCTCATAGATATATCAGAGTAATCACAAACTGAACAAATGGCCGATTAAGAAAAAAAAAAATTGAAAAACATGAAATAAAAATGATTAAAGACGAACTAATAAGTTATATATACATATTTCTATAAACATTTATTAACAATTTTATGGGGTCTAGATGGATAGGAAGTGATTGAACAGGCGGGATATAAAGGTAGGGAGGGTATTATTGCGACAAATGTAGGAAAGGATGCTTTATAGAGTGGATTTATTGATTTGTTTTTCTGAATGAAAAACTAATAAATGTCAAACCTCTGAGTTAAGATTTTTTTTTCTACATATTAATTTGAGCCTTGAAGTAAGCTCTATAAAAATGTTTAAAAAAATTGAATTAAAATAAAGTCACGGTTTACCAATAATATATTCTTGAAATTGAGCAGAAATTTGATATGATGTACACAACGGATTGTCATTGTAATCAAAGTTACAGGTTAGAATAGGCAGAGTTTTGGGCATATACGACATCACGCGGACTCTGAGTTGGGTTACCTTGCCTGGGTGTCCATTAAAAAGAAAATCATATTACATACGAGTTTCCTTCTCTTATATAAGTATATATATATATATATATATCATATATCATATATATATTTTTTTTTATTACTTATTTTTGTTATGTTACTTATTAACTACACTATATTTGTACATACAGTACATTTGTTATTACTTACAGCGTTTTATAAGGATTAGAAGATGCCTCCTGTTGAACATTGGTAGCGGGTCGTTCGATGACATGGACCTCCTTAAAATCTTTTGCAGTCTCCATAGCTCTCTTTTGTACTTGTACTCTTGCATGATGATCTCCTGCACAGCGCTGTCAGACGGTACCTCCCTCTCGCCTGAAACCGTAAAAGAAATTTAGAAGTATAAATATATTCAGTTTAAGGTCAAAACGCATTGAGTAAAATTCAAATAATTTATTTATGCATACCAGGCATTTTTATCTAAAATATCGTACAAAATAAGTTTACATTTTCTACATCCCGTAGGTTCACAGCCCTTTCACTATCGAGCCCTTGCAGGGACCCCTCTATACGGGCCCTACTGGCCCCATATCATTAAGATACCATCTAATCTTATCTCCCCATTGTCGCTTAGGCTGCTCGCCGCTTAACCGTCGCCCTGGGATTTGAAACTGTTTCAGAGAGTGCTTTGTCCACTGGAATACTAAATAATCATTTCCATTTTACTACTTTTAAAGACACCCTCCATTTCATTGAATCCTATCGAGATAGTTAAGAACTTTTCAGTTTTGTTCATGATTTAAAATCATAGCTACAAACATTGAATTTATTAGAGGTTTATAGTTTTAACTTTTCGGTTAAATTTATTCCTTTAACGTTGATTGTTAACCTATAAGAAACAAACTAAAGTATAATTAAACTAATAGATAAAACCATAAATATATAAATTTACCAATGCGTAGGCACACATACATATGCAGTGGTGAATAAAAGTTTTAATTTTAATCAAACTTAATTTTAGTAAAAAATTATAAATATTCCAATTTAAAATAGTATTATATTAAATTATATACAAGCGAAGATACGAATGCGTTGTGCTGACTTTTTTTCATCCTCCAAATAATGGTACCTTATTGTTTAAATTTCACTAATTTATTTTCCACATTAGTGTTTACTCTTTATTGTTATAGCCTAGAGCAGTCGCATAAGCTGTTGGAAGCAGTGTGTATAAGTAAAAATTGTTTCAGTATTGGAATTCTTCACCTTTTTAAGTATTTTTATTTAAATTTGAGTTCTACCAATGGGTAGTTTCTCTTCATGTTATACATGCCATGTTACCAATTTCTCATTTACTTATTGTATTCTCTATGTAATACAGTTGTAAATTCCATTAAAATAATTTAAAAAAAAAGAAATTATTTAAAATTTTTATTATTGAAATTTACAACTATATTAAATGGCAAATACAAATAGTAAATATCAAACAAGTAACAAGACATGTACAACATGAAGAGATACTACCCATTGGTAGTACTTCAATTATATTTATATATTAGAAGGTCCCGAGGCCATTTTCTTTTCAGAAGCCTCGGAGGGTTATTAGGAATAGAAGAGGGAGCAAGGTTGAAAACAAGAGGGTTCGGATGGTTCAGAGGTTTATTAAAAGACCGAGTAAAAGATTTTTTTATATAAATAAAAATTGTATTTAGGCAATTATATTTATTATAATACATCCAAATATCATCGACAAACAAAATATAAAAGCTTTGCAGCAGTTAATTCCATTAATGATTTTGCTGAAAATAAGGGTACTTTTAGATGATGAAATATGATATCACATAATTTTTTTAAACATCTTGGGAGGAAACTTAAATTTTTCACCAATAAACCTCAATTGAATTAATATGGACTTAAGGCTTATGTACAAGGCTTATGTACATGTACATACATATATATATATATGATTGATTTAATGAATGAGCTGCGAAGTTGCTTCATTCATTATCTTTCTAGCGGTGTACTCAACCATGAAATAAACGGAAAAAAAAGATATAAATTTAGAAAAGTTTTGTATGAGCTTATTGTTTAAAAACTTCTATTAATTAATGAACATATTATTTTATATTTAAAATTTAGCTTTTTTTAATTAGTATTTTAAGCATATATAAATAAATATTATTTATAAAGTATAGTAATAATATTTACTAAAGAATATTGCATTATATGAAAGATTTTTTTTTTTTTAACTTTTATTATGATATTTACAACTGTATTAGTATGAATACATCAAGTAAATGTGTACAGAGGAATAAAATAACATGAAACACGCTTGTTGAGAAACTACCCATTGGTAGCACTCTAATAATTTGTCTACATGAGGTGATCACGAGGCCATCTTCTTTTCAGACTCCTCGGAGGGTTATCAGGAATCGAAGAGGAAGCAAGGTTAGAAACAAGAGGATTCGGATGGTTATGAAGTTTATTATGGAAGGATAGGTATCTGGATTCGGCCAAATCGGAAACATATGGAACATTGAGGTCTTTATGGATTATTTTATTTGTGACAAAGTAAGGAGCATTGAGAATTTTACGAAGGATTTTGGATTGTAAAGATTGGATACGACAGGAATTTGATGGTTTAGTGGAGCCCCATAATTCAACTCGATAAGTCCAAATAGGTCTTATTATAGTCATGTATATGAGTCGTTTGTAATTAATGGGAAGATTAGAGCGTTTGTCTAGTAAGTGTTGCAGTAAGCGGAAACGTCGATCAGTTTCAGTCTTGTATGAGGATTCCAAGTGAGACGTTTGTCCAGCTGGAGTCCAACGTATCGGATTTGTTCTACAGGGATAAGTGGGGTGTTATTAAAGGATAATACAGGGCAGATATGAAAGATGAAATAATGAAATAAAATCTATACAACTAGCTAATGTTACTGAGTTAATGAATGGAGAAATATATCTCCTGAATTCATATTCATCATAATTAATGTGACAACCATTTTTATTAAAATATTTTATTTACCCTATTCATATCCCGGGTAATTCTGGATAATAAATTCTGGATAAAACAAAAAATTTTTTTTCCTACAACTAAATTGAAAAAGACTTAGTTAAGTTTAATTATCCATTATGATTTTCTAATAGATTGAAAAGTATATGTTTCGTATTGATAATGCTTCTTGAAAATAATTTAACATTTTCCAATTGGTAGTGACTCGATGTTCTAACTCCCACGAAAATTGGTCTCCCTCTCTTCTCTTGAGAGGCCTTAAAAACTTTACTAATTGAGTGAAGTTAGTCTAAGTAGCTTGCGAAGGCTTCTGCGAAGGAAATACGTCGCCCAAGAGAAAGATTCGAATGCGACTTTCCATTTTTATTTCTTTAGAAAAATTGTTTTTTTTTGTTAATTGTATACAAAAGAAGGCCTTAACGAATATACCCTGTTTTTAATAACTCGTTTGTACAAAGTATAATTTGAATTGCTTTGAATTAGGTGGCTAAAGGAGATCTCAAAGGCTCAGGTAATTTTAATATACAAATTTAGATTTAGAATGCTTTGTTCTTTGTAAATCGATTATAATATTCTTAGATAAGGATTAGATCTTACTTGGAACTTAGCTTTAATTTAAGTAATTTATTCATGCCAATAAATTAAAATAAAATATAGAGAATATTAATATAAATAAATGAGCTAATAGCTCAAAAGAGACATAAAGTAATGAGGATATAATGGAAAAATTACCAACTGTAAAATATTGAGTCTCAAGGATACAGATGAACAATAAAGTTTGTTCAGTAACGACTAAAAGTCAACATAATCGTTTTTAAAAATATAACTTTTTTCTCTATCAAATACTTTTAACCCTTAATTGGTCAGGCAATCAAAAAATGACTTGAAATGAAAATTTTTCCTTAAAACTTCTTTTTGGTGTTATAAATGAGTAGAATATATTTGGTTTAACTTTTTTTTCTTTTCTTTATAAAAATACTGCATGTTGTCTTTATGTACACTTTGGCCAATTGCCGTCAAACAATGGTGGTGTCTTTAAGTTCACTTTGGCTAATAAACCAGCATCATAGTTTTAAAAAATGTAATTAAATAATTTATTAGGTAATAAATGAAACAAGTAAATAAGTATATAGTAAACAAAATATAATAAATTACCAAACATAAATCCATGACAAATAACATTACGCATTCCATAGTCCATGAAATTCAAGAGAATAGGGCCTCTCACTGGTGTTTAAATTCTCACATTACATTTTTGGCATGAAACAACCGTTTGATTCTTGCAGAACAGTCTGCACTTCCCTATTGCAGTTAATACTAGCCAATGGTGCATCTTATCAAGTCGGGTATGACAGCTGCATCAGTTCTTTTTTTCATGATTGTAATTGGTGGTGTCCTGGCTCCACTAGATCCTTTAGCTCGCAGGTACAGTAGAATATCCTTCGCAATTTGTATTCGTAATTGTTTTAATGTCAAATTTATTTTAGGTGTGTTATTTTTAACAACAGATATGCGTTGGAAAAAGGTATATTTTGACAAAATATTTTCCAATAGGAAACGACTTCAAATAAGGAGTTTTCCTTTTTACGAATTCTTTTGTTCAAATTTTTATAATTATAAAAATATTGTGAGGATTGTTACCTAAGTAATTTATAATTTTCGTCTAATTCATTCGGTTAGGAGTGTATTATTTTTGAAAATATAATACACAAATTTTATTATGAAACAACAAATAATTTCAATACAGGTAATTATACAATTTCCGTAATTACAGAGGAAGGTAAATTGACCGCACTTAGCGGACGCATTGTTGTTGATGTTTTTTTTTTTTTTAAACCATTAAGATTCTTTCTTTTGCCAAATTAGTACTAAAATTTTAAACAATTTGAAACTTATATTTATAACATGTACAATATTTCCCTTGTAATATATCGTGTACTATGACATTAAGGCATGTATATAACGTCTAAAGTCTAACAACCAATAAACTGCGTATGTAGATTTATATATACCTTGTGCACTGTATTAAATTAAATTAAGTAAATGAAAAAATCACCTCAGAATAGTTATAGACTTTTTACTTAACTATTTAAACTGAAATCTACAGACTTTTCAATGTTTCTAAAATTAAAATATAATGATTAAGTGTGCTGCTCTCGACCAATAGAGTGGCAGGTTAAGTTGGCAGCTCACGTAAATGCTAATTGGGATGATAAAATATGAGGAGTAATTAGGATTGTAAAATATGCACGTGTAAAATGAAAACAGATTGTGGAGAGTTGTATCTAGTTTGCTAGGTTTGTTGGAAAGTTTGTATCAGACTCGGTTGTTCTTTTGTTATAGTCGCGTATCACTTTCTCAC